AGACTTAGTAATTTGTTTCACTCTAGTTTTGTTTTGGGGTAGATGAATATTTTTGTGGCAATTTTTTTTAGTAATTAATCTCGCCTCCGGTCCTCATATCTCTGGCCACGGCTTTGTATGGAGACCATTGTAGATATGATCATGCATGCTAAGACTCCACCAAAGTACTTGAAGTGGCATAAATGTATCGATGGAAGTGATTAGTTTGAAGATGAATCATGGTGATGAGATGGCTGGTCTGGAGACGAATAATGGGAGTGAATGAAATTAAGACGAGCGATGATGAACATCAACCACATCTAATGATGGATAAACATCTGAGAAATCGTGAGTCGTGCGAATCGTGTGGGCAAGAAAAGTTATATGTTGTTTTTTTAATTTTCTTCTATTTCTTAAAATTTTATGGCCAATAATATTGGTACATTACCTTTTAAAATAGTATTTACGAAAGTAATTTTTTTTTAATACTTTTAAAGATAGTTATGCGAAAAGTTGCATTTTAAAAAAAAAATTTTCGAGATTTTGGTGGGTGTACCATACTTTTTGTTGTTGCAAGATGATAAGACAAAGAAGGTTCAAGGATTGACAAAAGAAAACAATTTCTTGAATAAAAAAATTGTATGGTTGTAGACATGCCTCTTCCTTCTTATGACTTATCTCACAAGACGCAATAAAATCAATGTTTTAGAAACATCTTTTAGTTTCAAGAAAAATAAAAGCAATTTAATTTTTAATCCATGGAAGCACCCATGCTGGTGGTGGTATTCTATTTTTCGTAAAGTAAATTCCATCAGTTTTTGCAATCCATGTGCATATCTCACCACCTCGCGGTGAATAGGCTGATCTGTATACTTCAATGTCTGTAGTTACTTCTTTATTAGGCAAATGCTCAAAGATACAATTCCATACTTCCCTTTTTTGTCCCTTACGCTCCATAAATTCAATGACATAGAGGTGATCATTGAGTTTTAGTTCACGGACGCCAAGATCTTTGTTTCTAGAACGACAATAGAATTTTAAAATACTACGAGGAGGAAAACCGTTAAAAATTTCTATGGTATTATTCTCTCGTGCTTCATTCAACACGAAACACATAAAAACAATTACCATATAAGTTATGAAATTATTCATTTTTATATATAAGATAAACGTTGGAGTAACAAGGACACCAAACTGTAGTATTTATAATATCTTTGTGTGGAAACTATTTTTTTCCTATATATATCAAACACTTTATTTGGCCTTATCTAAATTAAACATGAAAATGAACTAGTCAGACATGTGATTGGAGGAGATTTCTCATAA